GCTCTTTGAACATTTAAATGAATACATATTTTTTGTTTTGTAAGGGTGAAAAAGTAAGTAAAGTGGATAGAGGTAGAAAAAAGTATGCTGTCATTGTTCAGAGTATTATAGAATACATATTTGGGAACTTCCTCCCTGATTTAGAAACATGAGCGTTCTTAGTGATAACAAATACTTTTTGAAAGGTGAATTAGATTTTAGCAGTAAGCCCTGTATGGAGTACCCAGTGGTGGTCAAAGCAGACTGCCAAGGAAGGGACTATGGTATGACTTAAGAGTGAGGATGAGCATATTCATTGTTCTGAAGGTAGTTTGAGAATATATTTGAGCAATGTTAATAACTTTGAAATCATTTAGTGCCTTCCAAATGACAGCATCTAGTTGAAAATAGGACTTTTTAATGTTGAAAATGCTGGCTCATCACTTAATTCATACCAGACAGATTGTGTAATTAAATGAGGAGGATATATATAAATAACGGTGGTTGTTGTTAAGTGCCATTGAGTTGGTTCCGACCCATAGCAACCCTCTATAGGGTTTCCAAGGATAGATGAACAAGTTGGGGGTCAGTTTGACAGTAGCTAAAAGCAAAAACAGCAATGTATTTTTATAGAAATAAAAATAGTTAACTTCAATTTCAGAAACTGTCTTGGGCGTAACTCACATTGTAAAGAGTATACTTGGTAATAAGCCTAATAATTCCTTTGGAAAATCATTTACTTGATTGTTTATCATTAAGTTGTAGGCCTCTTTGGAAAATAAAGTATCATTTAAAGGCAACTGATAGTAATTTAATATCGCCCAAATATATTGTGTAGTAGCCAGTCCCCATGATGTGTAATAAGAGTATTTCTTACCCAACTGAAACCTGAAGATTATCTGATCTTTGATAAAACAATTAAGAGAAAATCTAAAACATTTCAGACAACTCAAATTCTATGAAAAAATTACCATGGAAATATTTTTGGTATACTCTGGTAGCGTAGTGGTTACGAATCGGGTTGCAAACCGCAAGGTCAGCAGTTCGAAACTACCAGCGGGTCCGCGGGAGAAAGATGAGGCGTTCTGCTCCCGTAAAGATTTACAGCCTCGGAAACCCTGTGCAGGGTCACTATGAGTCGGAACCGACTCCACGGCACTTAACAAAAACAACAACAACAATGCATGTAAGTGAAATCTTGCATCCTTTGTTTTCACAGGCTAAAAGGAGGCAGAGAAAGGATTTGGCCAACAGCGACTCCAGAAAAACTACAGAAAAGCTCTTGAAAACATTTTTGAAAAGACAAGCTATTAAAACTACCTTAAGAGGCAAAAGGCAAGACAAATAATACATTCATCCTAAAGATGACATTTTTCCCTGTTGGATTCCTGAAAGTAGAGCGTGAAAGATTGAATAATTTGAAGCTGTGAAAGTTCTCCATTCTGTGGAGATAAGCTTTGGTAATAGGAAAGATGAAGGGTTACATTGCATGCACGTGACTGTTTCCCAGTCTTTTCTTCGTGAATATAGTTAAGGCTGCAATCCAGACTCAGAGAAGCTACTGCAAGGCCCGCCCTCCCCCCCACCCCCCAGGCTGTACTAAGGAGGAGGCTTCAAAAAGTTTACGGTAAAATGGCCAAATTTTTGAAGCCCCCTCATATTTTTCAAAGCAGTAGTCCAGCTCAGGGAGTCCTGGTATGACGCTATGAGTTAATGCAACAAGACTGCAAAGTTGTGTGAACTGCAAGGTCGGTGGTTCAAGTTCACCAGCTGCTCTTTGGAAACCCTTTACAGGGTCGCTATGGGTTGGAACCGACTCGATGGCACTTAACAACTACAACAGTCTAGCTCAGAGCTAGTTCAGTAAGGAGCAAAGTCTATTGCTGGTGCGTTCGTTTCTCCTTCACCTTCTTTGTAGGGTTTGTGTAATCATGGGATAGTATGTGTGGTTAATTAAAATGCATTTCAGATCATCTCTGTTAAATATATGTGTACATTTTAGAGACGAAACACTACCCAGCCTTACTCAAGTACAAAGAGAAGATATCTATGTTTTGCCACCTTTACAAGAGGAAGAAAAAAATAGGTAAGTACTTACTTGAGAGCATAATTTTAGTTATTGCTGTATTCAAACATATTTTAATGTTATATTTCTTCAAAATGATGAGGCATGTGATAATTAAACCAGCTGAAATATATGTTCTCGATTGCCAAACTTCGTCTCTCATACTTCGGGCATATTGTCAGGAGGGACCAGTCGCTGGAGAAGGATATCATGTTTGGTAAGGTGGAGGGTCAGAGAAAAAGGAAGACTCCCAGCAATATAGATTAGCAAAGTGGCAGCATCAGTGGGCTCAAGTGTGGCAACAATTGCAAGATTGGCCCAGGACCAGGCAGTGTTTTGTCTGCTGTGCATAGGGCCGCTATGAATCAGTACTGACTCAATGGCTCCTAACAACAACAACAACATACGTTTCATTTATCTCTTACAGGGGAGTAAGTCCTGTTAAATTGTCTTTTTGTTTTGCTGATTTGTGATGGTTTATGATACATTATTCCTTCTCATTCTAATCATTCTCTGCCAGCACTCTTGATTTCAGTTTTATAAAGACATGGATTTTTGTTTTCCTTGCAGTTTCCTTAAAGTACTGTGTGTGTGCACTTCTTAGTGCAGTATTGTCTCTTGTACACCCCCACACCAAAAGGCCATATAGGTCTTTGTTGCTAGGTCCAATAGAAGCATATTTTAATTCTCGGCCTGTTTCATGTCTTGGCACCATTTAGCACTGCTACCTTGCTGTCCAAGGAACTCTGCTACCATAGTGGGTTACGAGTTGAGCTGTTAGCTGCGAGTCAGCAGTTTGAATCTATCTGATGCTCCTCAGGAAAAAGATGAGGCTTTCTTCTCCCCATAAACACTTTTGACAGTGTTTTGTTCTCTTGAACATAAGGTCTCTATGAGTCTGTACTCATTTGATGGCACCTAACAGCAACAACAACAAAGACTTAACAACCTCAGAAACCCTGTACAGAGTCTCTGAGTTGGAACCAACTAGGTGGCACATAGCCACCATCACTATCACCCCACTGTCCTGTTTTTTTGGGGTATTTGGATTACTTTCTCTGAATGAATGCCAGAAGAGACTCTGAAACTTGCTCTCCA